AGAGAGAGAGAGAGAGAAAGGATCCACCTGCCTTCACCTCCCCACCATGGGGATTATCAAAACTAGCATTTCTACGTGGATCCTGGGGTCTTCAGGCATGCAAGACAAATATTATTTATCAATTAAGGTTTCTCCCTAGTCCCTGAATCATGAATTTTAATCTAGCAAAAACGAGACATATTTGAGTTAAAAGATACTCTAAAAATAATGTAGTCTGGGGCCAGGGAGATGGCTCAGTGGGTGAAGATGCTTGCCACCAAGTCTGGCTACCTGAGTTTGATCCCTGAGATACACTGTAAAAGGAGAAAATGGATTCCTGCAGGTTGTCCTCTGACTTCCACTCACATGCCAGGGCATGCATTATGTCCCCCTAAATAAACTAAAAATGTAATTAAACAAACTAAACAAACAAAGGGTATAGTCTTCCAAAAATGTAAATGTCATAAAAGATAAAGAAAACTTGGAAGGCTGGAGAGATGGTTCAGTGGTTAAGAGCACTGGCAGCTCTTGCAAAGGACCCAGGTTCAGTTTTCAACATCCACATGACAGCTAACAACCACCCTTAACTCTAGTTCCAGGGAATTCAGCATCCTCTTCTGGCTTCCATGGGCCTCACATGCAGGTAAAACACTCATACACATGAAAACAAAACTAAAAAAAGAAAAAAATGTTAACATTTGAAAGTATGCTAAAGAAACACAACTAGGGCTGGTGAGGTGAGGTGGCTCAGTAGGTAAAACTGCTTGTGGTACAAGCATGACAACCTCAAGTTGATTCCTAGAACCAACAATGGAAGGAGGGAACTGACTCACAGAAGTTGTCTTCTGACCTCCATGTATATGCTATAGCATGTGTACACCTGCACCTTTACATACTATGTGTGCACGAGCACATTCCCACACCCATATCCATCCCCCACACCCCACAAACCACAGCTATATATACTTAAGATCTAAATATATTTAAGATTAGGTCCTGTATCAGGAAGAAAAATTGTACGCACTTCTGGCAAAATTTGAATAGACACTGTAATGTTATCATCAGTATCAAACTGCATGAGCTTTAAATTGTGCTGTGCTTATCTAAGAGAGCATTTGTGTTCTTGATGTAGTTAGTGGTTTGAGAGACCTGAGTGACTCCATCTTGGATAAAACCTCCATAGGACTGACCCAGGCCTGGGCCCTGTTCCAAGAAAACCACAATACTTGGAACGGATAGAGAACAACTCCCCCGCCAATGGTCAATTAACCGGGGACAGGAAAGTAATGTCTTTTCTGATTTCCTGAAGCCAGCAGTTTATGGTTTAGCACTGAGCTACAACCAATCAGATGCTTGCCAGGCTGAAGACCCCCTACTCCCCTACTTGCTGAACTTGCTGAAATAAACCTATAAAAACCTCTGTCTCCCAAAGCAAGGGGTCTCACTTCTGAGATCTGCTAGGTTGGTGACAGAGTGGGCCCAAGCTTGAGCTTGTAACAATAAAAGAACCCTTGTGTGTTTGCATCAGTCGGCTCCTTGGTGGTCTTTGGGGTCTTGTGAACTGGGCACAACAGGTTCAGGAAGAAAAAAATACAGAATATAGAAAAACAAACAGGGCTTGGGGATGTAGTTCAGTGGCACAGAGTGTGCCTGTCAGCATGGAACAGGGGCCTTGATTCAATCCCCAGCACTAAAATCAGTCCTCCACTAACCAATCAATCAACCACCCACTCACCCATTTAGACAGAAGTGAAGAAACGATGAATCTTGGTAAATGAATATAGAAATTCTTTGTATTATCATGACTATTATAGTTTATTTGGATTGTTGCTTTTTGGTTCTTCTTCAAGACAGGGTCTCACCATGTAGCCCTGGCTGGCCTAGAACTTGCTATATAGACCAGGCTGACTTAAATTCACAGAGATACACCTGCCTCTGTCTCCTGAGTGCTGGAATTAAAGGTGTGCCCCACCATGCTCATCTTGTTTGTTCGGTTTTTGAAGCAGGATGTCACTCTAGCACAAGCTGACCTGGAACTCACTCTGTAGCCCAGGATACCCTGGAACTTGTGATCCTCCTATCTCAGTCTACCAAATGCTGGATTATAGCCACCATGCCTGGCTCTTAGTGATACTTTTCTAACTTTACTTTAAATTTGAAATTACATCAATATAAGAGTAAAGAAATAAGATGAAAGTCTAAGAGTACAGCTAATAATGCAGACTACTAAGTACACATGAACTACAGCTTTTGAGAAACATTTATAAACACAAAGTCCTAAAATGACACCATCTGCCACAATAATGTTCTGAGGACCTACTGACTCAGAGTTCTGAATGCTCCAGTTCCCTTACTTTTTTCAGAAGGCACACCATGTTCGTGTGAGGATTCAGATGTAGAGCGAGAGGATGGGAGAGGGCTTCTTGATACTGGAGACAGCAGGCATAGAACTTGCACCAAAATTCCTGTTGTAAAGTTCGAAATTCATCCTGGGAGAATTCGTACTCTGTTACACTTCCTTGGAGCTGGCAAAAGAGACAAAAAGACAAAAATACAAAAATAAATAAAACACAACAAAGCCCTGAAGTTAGTATTATCTGGGATTTTTCTCTACAAAAAAATATATGATTTTACTAGCTATAGAAAAGGAGTATTTCTTATGCACTAAATTCAATATAATATACAAGAATCTATCAATTTCTCTAATGAAAAGGCTTAAACATTTGTACTTTCTACTATCAAGATCAAACGGTTCTGGCAACCCTCTAGTACTGATCTGTCCTCTATCAAGGCAGAAGATAGCATTCTTCTCTATCAACACCTCACCTCATTTTCAACTGCTAAAGTAATTTCTTTCTTTAGTTCATTCCATGAAAGTTCCAAATTCCTCTCAGTTCCTCGACAGAAAATCTAAAATGAAAAGAAATATTTTTGAATATTGTAAAATATCCAATCTGGCTGGATGTGCCTGCATCCGGAGGCAGAGGCAGGCAGATCTCTGAGTTCCAGGCCAGCCAGGCTACAATAGTGAGACCCTATCTCATAACACAACATCATAAGACAACACAACACAAAACAAACAAAAAGAATGTACCAATACTGAAGAAAAGTGCCTGGAAACTGTCACACCTGAGCAAAAATTAGGAAACTGAAATTGGTTGGGTGTGGAGGTACGTACCTGTAACCCCAGCACTTGGCTGGCTGAGGCACGAAGATAAAGAGTTCAAGGCCAACCTGGATCCTAAGCTAAACAGTGATACTGTTTTAGAAACCCAATCCCAACAAAAGGGGGAAGGAGAGGGAGAGGGAGAGAGAGAGAGAGAGAGAGAGAGAGAGAGAGAGAGAGAGAGAGAGAGAGAGAGAGACAGAAATTGTCGATATTTATTTTTAAATTTTATTTATTTTGTTTTTTTGGTGACAGGGTCTCACTATGTAGCCCTGGGTGGCCTAGAACTCACTACATAGATCAGGTTGGCTTCAAACTCACAGAGATTCATCTGCCTCTGCCTCCCAAGAGTTAGGATTAAATATGTCTATCACCATGCCCAGCCAAAAAAAAAAAAAAAAAAAAAAAAAAAATTCCCACTTTTTATAAAGTAGTAAGTAACTTTTAAGTCATGATTTTGAAACTGAAAGATGTTTTTCTAAGATGGTCTCACTCTGTAATACAGACAGGTTGCCTCTAACTCATGATCCTTCTGCTTCAGTCTCCTGAAATGTGGGATTATAGGTATGTTACCCCTATGCCTGGCTTGAAGCTAAAATATTTTGAGTCTTCTACACTCTGAATCTTGAACTTGGACACTCATTATACTTACAAAATGGTATAAACAGCATATAAGATAACTAAACAAAAACAACTTTAAATCTCCTTCAAATAAAAGATTGAATACAGCATAGGTTGGTTTCTTTTTACAACAGTGTAAGCAAAAATCTCTTTTAAACTCTGATTTGCTTCCCTAGCTTTGGGAAAGTGCCCCCTCCCACCCCATCAGTTAGAATGTACACAAAAGAGTAATTACTATACAATATAGTAATAAAATCAGGAAGTCTTAAGTAAACATTAGTTTCTTGCTTACCTGTAAAGCTTTAGATAAAGCTGCATTTATGAACTGTCCTGGTGTAAAAAGACTTCGCAAATACATCTCCTATTAGAATGTTAAAATAAAAGTTAGTATCATTCTGAAAAAATGAAATAGGGAAAAATCTGAAGGAAGCTGACCATATTAACACCAACGTCTGAATTACATGGGCATTCTGCCCTTCTACACTGGAGCAGTGACAAGCTATAGCACAGACACATGTTTTCACAGTGAGTGTGAGGACTGCAATGCTTCTGGGTCAAGCTGATACACCATTCTGAAAATGGCATGCATTCACACAGCACTCCCCCGAGTTCTAGCAAAAAGCAAGGCTGTCGGCTGCCCACCTCAATAGAAGGGTGGAATCTAGCTTATGAAGACAGGCACTGGTAGGAACAGTTAAAGAATACTGATTTCTATACCGCCTATAGAAGAACTCACTTTATGGCTTACATATCAAAGAAACTGATAATAGAGACTGCACATAAAAGAAAAATTGCAGAAAGCTATCACAAGTGGGAAAATAGAATGGAAAAATCCAATGTTGCCTCATTATTTTGACCAAGTCTCATGAGTCAGATTTGCTTGTAAGCATCAAATCTAATTCACCTTAATTCTAAGTTTTTTCTTCTTCTGAGCTTGGTGTTAAGGTTCAGACAGCCCTGCCACCTCACCAACAGGATCCCAAGGACTTCTCATGCTCCTGAGAAAAGGGAACCTAGCTGATAAGCACCTTGGTCTTTGAAGTCAAGAGAAGCAGACTTTTCTCCACTGTTTGGCCAACACAGCAGGCTTCCCCTTTCATCTCCAAAGAGGACAGGTTTTAACAGTCCTGCTCTCTCACTCCCACACTGCAACTTTAAAAAAAAAAAACAGTACATCTTCCCACCTTCTGCAGGAAGCAGAAGCCTCCCTTTTAAAAATCAAGACCCAGGCAGACATTTTCCCTGCCTGGAAGGGAATCTGTCCCATGTGTTCCTTTGCTAATAAACCCTATTTTGATGGAGTTTTAGCTGTGCCTCAGTGCCTCATCATCCATTCGCTCGTTCTCCGCCAACTTTTAACCTATCACTTGGTGGGTGATAAAATGAACAAAATGGAACAAAGGCTTTTAATGACTAGCATGTGACTTAGGCTTTCAGACAAAAGTAAGTAATGGTTAACTGCAGTAATCAACCACTACTAACACTTAGGGTTAGCACTTCGACAACATGCAATTTCAGATACTTAAAGGGAGGGTTTCCATTCCTGCAAACAGTCATTATTTCGGCCCCAGACCCATAATCATTAAGCAATAACAAACTAAACACTAAGGCATCAACAGCAAGCTTTTTCTTCTATTTATCCTGAGGATATATCCCTGAAAATGGGGAGATTGGCTTAATATGCTTTATTGCAATCCTTTTCAAATTATTTTCTTCACAGTATTTAATGATCGATCAGTATTTAATTTTTCCTTCCCTGTGGGCTGGGACTGAACTTGGGGTCTGGTGCACATGTTTTCCACCATTGAGCTACAGTACTCAAAATTTATCTTATTCCTAAGGAAATGTTCAAGCAGACGGAAATGCTAAATACTCTATTTGATCATTATGTATTGTATGTATCACAGACAGGTACAATTATTGTTTTAGTGAAAAAATTCTCAGTCAGTGAGATGGCTCAGCAACTAACAGTGGGTGAAGGCACTTGGTGCCTTCACCTGACCACCTGAGTTCCATTCCTGGGACCCACATGGTAGAAGGAGAGAAATGACTCCAGCAAGTTGTCTTCTGTCCTCCATGTGTACCATGGCAAGTGTCCACATGTATGTACACACACACACACACACACACACACACACACACACACCAGCGACTGAATATACAAGTAAATGGAAAAAAAAGTCTCCAAATTAAAAAGCAAAAATTGGGGCAGCAGTGATGGCTCAGTGGTTAAGAGCATTGGTTGCAGAAGACCTGGGTTTGAGTCCCAGCACCCACATGGCAGCTAACAACGGTCCACAACTCCAGTTCCATGGGAATCTGATACCCTCTTCTGACTTCTTTGGGTATTGCACAACACAGGTGCACTTACACACATGTAGTCAATACACTCATACACATAAAAATAAAACATTTTTAAAAAGCAAAAGTCATCTTATTTCTAGTTCAGGTGCACATACCAACATAACTAATATGGCAGGCACCCTGCAAGATCAGAATCTATTCCCTCTCATTTTTTGTTTTTGAGACAGGTCTCTCTTTGTGGCCACGGCTGTCCTGGAACTTGCTATGTAGACCTTCAACTCTTGGGAGATCTGCCTGTCTCTACCTCCCAAGTACTGGGAATAAAGGTGTGCACTACAATGCCCAGCTCCATCCCCCTCATTTTATTAACAAATCCCTTATTTTTTTTCCTCCCCAACCCATATTCAACTGACTTTAGCTCTGCAATAGCAGAGCACAGGCTAGACTGTGTCTCATGCCAGGCAGGAATACTCCATTGGTTCTAATGATAGTAAACACATAGGGAATTAACATGATTCAAGCCAGGCCAATGTGTCCCAAGCACACTGAACTGAGGTGCTGCTCTTCCTAAAGGATGGCCAAGTGTACAGAATGCAGACCTGGGAAGGAGAGACTGTCTGAGAAAGCAAGGAAGGAAGCAGAATAAGGAGCTCAAGCACCAACAGCACTGCACCACCCTATCTGAAACTAGGTTCTGCTGAGCATTTCAGGGGCACAAGCCAACGCGCTCTCCTTTGTATTCCAGTCAGCTCAAGTCACCAGAGAGCAAGAGCTCTAAGTGGCTCTTCTTGCAATGATGATAATGGTTAATCTACTTACTCTGGGGTCTTGGTCATCTCTGATGACAATTTCTTCCTCTGGCAGAGGCTGCATGAAAACTGGATTCCACTGACCTGCAACATTACTACAGGGAAAAAGTCCAAAAGTTTACCAGAAATGATACATGCAGTATCTGGGCAGGGAGAGCCTCATCACCAAACCTTGGCAAACAACTATTACATGATCGATTCTATCACTAGCAGAGTGTAAGGTTTTTTTTTTTTTTTTTTTTGTCTTTTTGAGACAGGGTCTCCTTGTAGCCCCAGCTGTCCTGGAACTCCCTATGTAGACCAGGCTGGCCTCGAACTCACAAAGATCTGCCTGCCTCTGCCTCCTAAGTGCTGGGATTAAAGGGGTGCATCACCATCAGAGTGTAGTTTTAATTGATGCACTTTTACTATCTCTGTGTGTGTATGCATGCTATATGTAAGTATGTGTATAAGTAAGTATGCTGTATGTGTATGCATGCTATATGTAAGCATGCTATATGTAAGTATGTGTATTTGTGTTCATGTGGAGGCCAGAGGTCAATGCCAGGTGTCTTTCTCAATTGCTCTCCACCTTAATCTTTAAATTATTTTTTAATTATTGTGTGTGTGAGCAGGTAAGCAGGAGCCATGGTATATATATATGGAGGTCAGAGGACCAACTTTGCAAGTTGGTTTTCTCCTTCTACTGTAGGTTCTGGGGCTCAAACTCAGGTTGTAACTTTTGCACAGCAAGCACTTTTATTTGCTAAGCCCTCTTGCCAGTACCTGATCTTATTTTTTAAGACAGGGTCTCTCACTGAACCTGGAGCTTACAATTTAGCTAGACTAAGCTATCCAGCAAGTTCCAGGGATCCTCCTGCCTCCACTTCCCCAGTTCTGGGATTAGTGTGTGATGCCACCCCTGGCTTTTTATGTGGTTCAAAATTTTTATGGGATTCAAATTCAAGTCATCATGCATACACAGCAAACACTACCAGTTGAGCCATCTCCTATCATCAGTGTTCTTAGTATCTTTTATTATTATTTTTTTCTTAGTAGCTCTTAACAGTCACCATCCTTAACTTAAAATGTGAAATATAAGTCTACAAATAGCTGATACTCATTCTGCATTTAATCTCTATGAGACACTATGGTAGGTGAAGGTCTAGATATTACTCATGTATGCCTTTGGATTTCACTGAAAGACATATTACATCTAATTTGTAGCTGTGGAAAGTGAACCTTAGGGAGCATCACAGCTACTAAGCTCCACAGCAGGACTGCAACCCTACTCCCATTCCAGAGCCCATGCTCTTTGGTTTGGTTAGACAGGATCTGACTCTGCATTCTAGGCTGGCTCCAATCTAACCATTCTCTTGCCTCAGCTCATAAATGCTGGGATTATAGGTGTGTGCCACCATGCCCAGCTCCAAGCCTGTACTTTTTGACTACTTTGTTCAAATGCTATCTGTAAAGAGTATACTAATATTTTTGAGGTTTGGTTTAGGGTCAGGACAGACCTTGTAATTCTATTCTAGAGTTTATAGTGTTGTGGATTCCATTAAGTTTAGTGGTTTTCAAGCTGTGTTCAAGGAAATCTTATAAAGGTGTTTCACATTTGATCTTAGCCAAAAAGCTGAGAAATGATATAAGGGCTTTCAGGGGTTATATAAGTGTTTGGTCCAAAAGTGTTTTTATAGATGTATTTGTAACCATTAAAAATTTTAAAGCTGCCTGGTGTGGCGGTGTATACCTTTAATCCCAGCACTCAGGAAACAGAAGCAAGCAGATTTCTGTGGGTTCCAGACCAGCCAGGGCTACACAGTGAAAACCCAGCCTCAAAAAAAGTTTTCTCTCCTCTATTTTTTGTTTTTGTTTTTTCAAGACAAGGTATCATACCCCAAGGTGGCCTTGAAGTGGTTATATAGCTGAAGATGACCTTGAATAACCAAGCCTGGTTAATGAGCTATTAGGAACTAAACCCAAGACTTCATGTATACCCTAGCACTCTACGGAGCCACACCCCAAGCCCAAAGTTTACTGTCTTAAAAAATTGTTTTCAGTTTTTTATTATTTATGTATGTTTGTGTGTATCTACATGTGTGAGTACCTACAAAGGCCACAAGAGGGTGTTAGATCCCCTGAAGTTGGAGTTATAGTCAGTTATGAACTGCCTGATGTGGGTGCTGAGAACTGAACTCTGGTCCTCTGCAAGAGCAGCAGATGCTCTTAACCACTGAGCCATCTCTTTGGCCTCCCCAAAGTTCATTTTCTAATGGAAAAAAAAAAGTTTCCAGTTTTAAAAGTTTTCAAAGAACCATACTTGTCCAGTCTACCTCTTATGATCAGTAAACTGAAACCTCTTTGGATTCTCCAATGTCTTTGGCAAGTTGTTGATATTAAAAACAGTAAATTTTCAGATTAGGATATTTTGAGTATATGCTCTCTCTCTTAAGAAAAATTTTATCGTAGCCCAAACTTAAGCATCCTTACTTTGTTCTAAAACCAAAAAGTAAGAAACATAACCTAATGCACACAAAAAGAGGTGGTACTTCAGAAAATAATACTGTAGGCAAATGGTGAGAATCCTTCAAAGAAAACTCTCGATATGGTTCTACAAAGAAAGCTCTCAGCACCTGACTCTGCTCAGGGGAAACTAGAATGACAAAGGTTAGTATTCCATACTGTTCAAAGTTGATGTATTTCACAATTGTTTGGTTCTCAGCATCATGCCACAGGGCCCAGATGTCCGTTGAGGTTAAGGCAAAGTCGATCAGTATCTCCTAGGAAGAAAAGGGAAAAAAATGAGAAAGGGACTTAAATTTGTATGGACAAGAGAGGAAATGCAAAACATGCACATTAACTTTGTAAAACCCAAATGAAATTGTTTCTCTACATCAAGAAGTATTCCATTTTAAGACTATAATCCCATAGCAACACGGTGGAATTAGCCAATACTTTTTTGGGCGGGACACGGTCTCATATTGCCATACTGCATGGTTTCATGTTGGTCTGGAACTTCCTCAGTTCAAGTGACCCTCCAGCCTCAGCTTCACAGTAGCTAAGATTCCAAGAGGATGCCATCTCACCAGGCTGCAGCCAACACTTTTTTATTGTGCCCATGTGATATGTACAGGATGGTTTGACCTACCTGAGAAGTGAACAGTGAAGAAATGTGATCTAAACTGTAGCGGTTATTCTCAGTGCTTACCAACTGGAAAATGCAGAACTGTAGAAACAGAAGTTCAAATAATCAACATGTAACTTTTCTAAGCAAGGGTTATTGGTAGTCAGACTTTTTTTTTTTGGTCTTTTTGAAGCAGGGTTTCCCTGCAGCCCCAGCTGGCCTGGAACTCACTATGGAGACCAGGCTGGCCTCAAACTCACAGAGATCCACCTGCCTCTGCCTCCCAAGTGCTGAGGCTAAAGGCGTGCGCCACCACGCCTGGCTGGTATTCAGACTCTTAATACATTGTAATAAATGAATATAACAAAGTTTAGCATCTTCACCATTTTCAAGTATACTGTTAGAATACACTGACATGATTATGCTATAATCTCTGGATCATTTTTCATCTTACAAAACTGTAACTTATTCCCATCAAACAACTCCCTCCATAACAGAAATCCCCATGTCTTTCCCTTGCAACCACCACTATTTCTGATTTTATGACTTTAGAAACCTCATATCAGTAGGTCATGTTTCTGTGACTAGTTTTCACTTAGCATAAATGTCCTCAAAGTTCATCCATATTGTAGTAAGACACAGAATTTCCTTCTTAAACTGGGTGTGGTGGTGCACGCCTTTAATCCCAGCACTCTGAAGGCAGAGGCAGGCAGATCTCTTTGAGTTCAAGGTCAGTCTGGTCTACATAGTGAGTTCTAGGCTAGCAGGGGTTACAGGGAGAACCTGTCTCAAAAAGACCAAAAAAAAAAAAAAATTCTTTTTAAATTTTATGTGCATGAATGTTTTACCTGCAAGTATGTATGTGCACCATGTGCATGTAGTGCCCATGGAGGTCAGAAGAGGGCACCAGAACCTCTGGACTTGGGAGTTATAGATCATTGTAAACCACCATGTGGCTGCTGAGAACTGAACCCAGGTCCTCTGTAAGGGCAGCCAGTGCTCTTAATGGCTGAGTCAACTCTTCCAGCACCACCACCCCCACTTTTTTTTTTTTGAGACAGTCTCAGTATGTAGTCTTGGCTGGCCTCAAACTCAGATTATCTGCCTGCCTCTGCTTCCTGTGTACTCAGATTCAAGGCACTAGCATCTTTTTCATTATTTAAAAAAAATTATTATTTTTATTTTATGTGTACAAGTGTTTTGTCTGCATGCATGTAAGCGTACCTGTGTCATACAATGGAAGTCAGAATGCATCAGATACCCTAGAATTAGAGCCAAAAATGGCTGACCGTTGTCATGTGGGTGCTGGGAAATGAACCTGGGTCCTGTGCAAGAACAGCTAGCACTCTCAATCACTAAGCCATCTCTTCACGCCCCCACACCTTTTTAAAAGCTAAGTAATATTCCATTTTATATAAATAGCACATTTTGCTTAGCCATTCATCCACTGAGGCACATTCTGCTCTTTGGCTATTGTGAATAATGCTACTGTGCATACTGCTGAACAAATATCTCTTTGAAGCTGCTTGCAATGCTTGTGGATATACACACACACACACAAGGTGAACTGATGGGTCATATAGTCATTCTGTGTTTAGCTGTTCTGTCCAACTGCCATACTGTTTTCCAAAATGGCTGTAATACTTCACATTCCCTACAGCAGACTGTAAGGTTTCAAGTTCTTTATATCTTCATCAATAATTGTTTTTTCCCCACAATAGCCACCCAAACAAAACTATTCACATTAAAAACAACAAAGGGGCTGGAGAGATGGCTTAGTGGTTAAGAACACTGGTTGTTCTTGCAGAAGGCCCTGGGTTCGAATCCTAGCACCCACATGCAGCTAACAACTGTCCGTAACTCCAGTCCCAGGGGATCCGACAGCCTCTTCTATCCACCTCAGGCATTGCACAACATGGGTGCACTTACCTACATGTAGGTAATACATGCATACACATAAAATAAAAATAATAAAATATTTAAAAACAACAAAAAACTATTCACATTAAAAAACTCATTGTATTAGCTCATTATATAAGAAAATTTCTTTTAAGTCTATGTTTTTACCAATGTGGCAGAATGTGAAATATACAGGTCAAAACTAGTCTATTCTAATCTTTATTAAAAATAAAATCTGGGGGCTAGAGAGATGCCCCAGTAGTTAAGAGCACTGGCTGCTCTTCCAGAGGACCTGGGTTCAGTTCACAGCACCCACATGGCAGCTAACATCCATCTTTAACTCCAGTTCCAGGGGGAGCCCAATGCCCTCTTCTGGCCTCTGTGGGCAGTGCATACATGTGATATACTTACATGCAGGCAAAATACTTATATACATAGAAAAGTTAAATTAAATTAAAAAGAATAAATAAAATCTGGGGACTGGGCATGGTGGTACATGTCTTTAATCACAGTACTTGGGAGGCACAGGCAGGCAGATCTCTATGAGTTTGAGGCCAGACTTGTCTACACAGTAAGACCTGTCTCAAAATAAACAAACAAATAAAATAAATAAATAAATGCAAGTAAAAATAAAATCTGGGGTTGGTAGCTCAGTTGGTGATTGCTAGCCTAGAATTCATGAAGCCCTGCATTTGATACTTAGCATCCCATAAAGTTGAATGTGGTAGTATACACCTGTAATCCAAATACTTTTGAGGTAGAGGCAGAAGGATCAGAAGTTTAAGATCATCTTTAACTATAAATAGAAGTCTGAGGCAAGCCTTGGTTACATGAGATCCTGTCAACCCCCAGACCCTCAAAAAAATTTTGGAAGGTGGTTCAGTAGTAGAGCATTTGTTTAAGACATGTGAGATGCTGGGTTTTGTCCTCATTGCATAAGAGTGCTCACTTGCATGCATATATACACTCACACACTTCCTACAAACAAAAAAATAATTCATGTGTAAGTATTTACATCTACCAAAAAGGGCTAAGAATGAAATTTAGCAGTAGAGCAGTTGCCTAATGTGTGCAAGGCTCTGGATTTGATCCCAGCACAGGAAAAGAAAAACAATAAGATCCCCCCAACAACAAAAACTATTCCCCGAACAAAAACTTTCAAATTAAAAAATGACATTTGAAGGCCAGGCATAATTCAGTGATAAGAGTAGTAGCCTTAAATGTACAAGGCCTTAGGTTCAATCCCTGACACTAGAGGAAAGACAAACAAAAACAAAAAACAAGGAAATTAAACCATAAGATAACTTGATTGGGACTGGAGAGATGACTCATCAGTTAAGAACAAGTACTGCTCTTACAGAGGGCTCTGGTTTGGTTTCCAGCACCCACATCAAGTAGCTTATTACTGCCTGTAACTCCAGCTCCAGGGGATCTGATAGATTCTCTGGACTCAGTGGGCACTTGCATCCACATGCATATACCCCCTATATACACAATGAAGCACTGACAGTACTGATCTGTGCCTTATACGCAATTATTCACAAGCAAGCTTTAAAAAAATTCACACTGATTGATTCACTGATTGTGTGTATGCGTGTATGTGGGTATGCCTGTGGAGAACAACTTTCAGAAGTTGGTTTGCTCTTTCTACCATGTAGGTTCTGGTGATGGAATTCAGGTTGTCAGGCTGCTGCAAGTGTCTTTGCCTGCTGAGCCATCTCGCTACCCCCACTATCACATTTCTTAAAAAAAAAATCTTTTTAGGCAGAGGAAATCAGGGACTGAAGGGATTAGAGCACTGGTTGCTCTTGCAGAGGATTCAGGTTCAGTTCTCAATATCCACACGACAGCTAACAAGCATCCCATAACTAGTTTCAAGGGATCTGATGCCTTCTTCTAGCCTCCATGAGCACTGCATGACATGGGTGCACTTACATACATGCAGGCAATACGCTCATACACATAACTGATAAAATTTTTTTAAAAAAAGAATCAGGGAGGCTGGCGATGGCTCATTGGTTAAAAGTATATACTACTCTTCTAGAGGATCCAAGTTTGATTCTCAGCACCATGTCAGGCAGCTCACTACCACCTATAACTCCAGTTCCCAAGGACCCAATGCCTTTGGTCTCCCCAGTGCTGTGCTCACATGCACATACCCACACGCAAATACCCACACATACATAGGATTAAAAACAAAAATAAAGCCGGGTGTGGTGGCGCATGCCTTTAATCCCAGCACTTGGGAAGCAGAGACAGGCAGATCTCTGTGAGTTCAAGGCCAGCCTGGTCTATACAGTGAGTTCCAGGACAGCTGGGGCTACAGCTACAGGGAGACCCTGTCTCAAAAAGACTAAAAAATAAATAAACAAAAATAAAAAAATAAAAAGGAAGAAAGAGCAAATTAGAATTTTTTATTTCCCTGAGTAATGGGGATTAGAACCTAGGGCTTCATGCATGACAGGCAAGGACTCTACCCCTAGCTATATCCCCAGTCCCATAAGTAAGCTTTGAGGGAAGAAATAAACACTGAAACTGCCTTCTGAGGAAAAAAATAGATGTATGAAATATGAAAGATATATCTATAGGAGGCTGGAGAGATGGCTTAGCAGTTGAGAGCACTTGCTGCTCAATCATGGGGAGTAGAGCTCAGATCCCAGTACCCACATCAGACAGCTCACAGATGCATTTAACTTCGAGGGATCTGACACCCTCCTCTGGCCTCCGTGGCACTCCCATACATGTGTACATACACTCACACAAACACACACACATAAATTAAAAAATAAAAAAAATAAACCTTTTTTTTAAAAAAAGGTATTTGGGGGCTGGAGAGATGGCTCAGCAGTTAAGAACACTGTTCTTGCAGAAGACCTGGGTTCGAATCCAAGCAACCATATGGCAGCTAACAACTGTCCGTAACACCAGTTCCAGGGGATCCAGCAGTCTCTTCTGACCTCCGCGGGCATTGCATGACACAGGTGCACTTACCTACATGCAGGTAATACATGCATACACATAAAATTAAAATAATAAAATATTTTTTTAAAAAAAGGTATTTGTAGGGGCTATATGAAGGTATAGTTTAGTGGTAGAACACATGCTCAACGTGTACCCCAAATCAAATCTAAATGTTTCTTGAAAAATTTTTTTCCGCCATCTCTGTCATTCCATTTGTGCAAACTAACTAGCAAAGCAAAACATTTCTTATTGTAGACTCCAGCCAAAGCAACAAAAAAAACAAAGAAAATGCTGGTTGAGTGCAGAGATTCTCAAATGATTTGTGGGAAAGGATCAGTCTGTTTATTTTAGCTTCTTATTTTTTTTTTTGTTTTGAGACATGGTCTCATGATATAGCTCTGGCTGGCTTCAAACTCATGACAATCCTCTTGCTTTAGCCTCCTGAGTGTTGGAATTTATGTATGCATCATAACACTAGGCTTATCTCATTTTTATCATATTTTACTTATTTTGTATGTATATATGTGTGGGTACCTGTGTGGAGGTCAGAGGACAACTTGTGGGAATCAGTCCTCTACTTCTACCATGCAGCTTCCAGGGATCTACTTCGGGTTGTAAGGCTTGGTGGCAAGTGCCTTTACCTACTGATCCACTTTACCAGCCTTGGTACGAGAATTTCCACTGGGGGGAATAGAGGTATTAGGGTATCAAGGGTATCCACATGGGGGAAGGGGGTAACCCAAGGGACTATCAGAGCCCAAAAGGAATCATGGGGACTTCCAGGTAGGGCAGCAACCTAGTGTGGGGAATTGGAGCTCTAATACTGTCTCTCACTGGTAGTATTAAATAGGTAACACACACATACCAGGACTAGAGTAAGCCTGGTCCAAGTGTTGCTATCACTAGTATATGCACATACAATTAGAATAACCAACAAATAACTTATTTACTTAATTACAGTACTGTATTGTATCTTGCATACTTTACTATACATAATACCAGGATCTGGCTGATATCATTTCTGAATATTAATTTCCCCACAACCATTTACTAACACACCTATATTCCTTTTCAATAACTCCACTTTTCCACCTAGATTTTCAGATTTTTGTGTTTAGTCTAGTTAACTTTTCCTTTCACACTTTCTCAAACTCCCAATTAATCCTTAGTATCCCTTCAAGATTTTCTAATTCACATATCAGCACAAAACCCAACCACCCCTGAACAACTTAGCATTCGAGACAAATCTTAAATGGACTCAAAGGGCCTATTGATACTTCCTCCACACAGAACAATTTGATACATGCCTTACTTGTTTCCTACCTGTCCTCGTTTTGGAGCATGCATATATATTCCTAGATAGAGTCCCATAGAAGGGGAATATGCAAGTCGTAATTTATGTCCAGTGCCTGCAGTGAGCCGCAGGTCTTTGTTCACAGGAACATACTCCAGCATGTCAGCCACCATTAGGCACATTTGGTCCTACACAAGAGAAGAGTCAACAGGGGATTATATTGTAGGAACATTTTGGCTAGAAACATATCATGTAGCTTTTTAAAAAGGAATTTTGAAGTGTCAAGATAAATTGTAGTTCTCCAACCTTCAAGGTAAAAATGTGGCTCTCCAATCTGATAAAACCACCAGCTTTTTTGGGGGGTGGATCTTAACAATGATTCTATCAACATGAGTTTTAAGAAAATATTTATTGCTGGGCGTGGTAGTGCATGCCTTTAATCCCAGCACATGGGAGGCAGAGGCAGATCTGTGAGTTCGAGGTCAGCCTGGTCTACCTAGTGAGTTCCAGGACAGCTGTGGCTAAAGGGAGACCCTGTCTCCAAAAAAGAGAAAAAAAACAAAACAAAAAAAGGAACATTGTTGGGCCAGGTATGGTGGTACACGCCCAGCACCTTTAATCAAAGGCAGAGGTAGGTCGATCTCTGTGGGCTAGCCTGGTCTACACAGTAAGTTCCAGGCCAGCTAGGACTAAAGGGAGATCCTGTCTCAAAAGACCAAAACAAAAACAAAGAAATCAACTCAACAGTTTTGCCTGTTGGTGAAGGATATCTCATGCCAGCTATCCTTTAGACTTCCTTGTAGGGCTCCTAATTCTCAAAAAGATAAAAGGGAGATGCACAGAAAATGACATGAACTGCAGTCAGAATCAGGAAGTGCTCATTATCCCCTAATTATCTTGCTATCTTCAAGGGAGGAGCAGGACGCTAACTGGCTCTACTTTTCCTACTCTTGCTCTCACTCAGGCCAACCATAATGTTAATACTCACTTTGTAAGACCACATTCGTAGTTTATGATCCTGGCACAGGGCAAAGATGAAGGCATCATGTTCGACACAATGAACAGCAAGACTGAGGGCCCGATCTGAAGGCCCTTGGTCACCCCTAAAACACACAGCAAGTTTCAGAATTTCACTATTACAAATAACTTGATTACTAGAATTTGCAACTCAAGAGGTAAAAATTGAACTATAAATGTACACTCAGGAGAAAAAAGAGCTTACATCTGGTCTAAGAGAACTATGTCTCTGTAGTTTATATTGAAAAGACTACATGACAGCAGAAAACTGATTCCTTTTATACTGTTTTAATCTAACAAAAATGTCCTACCTTAATTTTTCCTACTTTAATAATCCTTTTCCTATTAGATTTCTTTTTTTTAAATTTACTTATTTTTATTTTATGTGTATGAGTGTATTGTCTACATGTAGGTAGGTACACCTGTGCCATGCAATGCCTGACGCGGTCAGAAGAGGGTGTCGGATTCCCTGGAGTTATAGACAGGTGTTAGCCACCATGTGGGTGCTGGGAATTGAACTGGTATCCTCTGAAAGAACAGCCAGTGTTCTTAACTGTTGAGCCATGTTTTGCTTGCAGTATGTTTTTTTTTTTTTTTTTTTTTTTTTTTTTTGTATTTTTGAGACAGGGTGTCTGTAGTCCCAGTTGGTCTGAACTTGCTATGTAGACCACGCTAGCCTCGAGCTCAGAGATCTGCCTGCCACCTGTCTCTGCCTTCCAAGTGCTGGGATTAAAGCATGTGCTACCACGCCTGGCCTCTGCTTGCAGTTGTTATCAAGTATGTGTAATGCCTGTGGAGGCCAAAGGGGGCATTGGATCCCTTAGAACTGGAATTATGGACAGTTATTAGCTACCTTATGGGTATTGGGAACTGAACCCAGGTCCTCTGCATAAGTGCTCTTAACTGCTGAGTCATTTCTCCAGCCCTTTTATTACATCTTTTTTTTTTTTTTTTTTGGTCTTGAGACAGGGTCTTCCTGTAGCCCCAGCTGGCCTGGAACTCACTATGTAGACCAGGCTGGCCTTGAACTCAGAGATCTGCCTGCCTCTGCCTCCCAAGTGCTGAGATTAATGGTGTGCGCCACCACGCCCAGCTCTTATTACATCTTTTTAAAAAAATTAGTTATTATAGGTGTGTGTGTGTGTGTGTGTGTACGCATGCCAGAGCACATATGGCGGTCAGAGGACAATGCAGTTGTCAGTTCTCTCCCTCCACCATGTGGAACCTGGGATCAAACTCAGGACATCAGGCTTAGTGGCATGCACCTTTACCCTGAGCCATCTCTTGTGCCCTACTTTAGTAGTCTTACACAAAATTGGAATTGGTTAAGTCAGGGCACCAGCACTGAACTAGATAAGACACTGTGAAAATATATGAAGTATGCTGTCAAAGAGGCATAATATAAATACAGCAGACTCTGGAGTGCTGATTTCCTCAAGCAGGATGTTCTACTATACAGACCTTCTATTCAGTGCAATGTATGCTGTGCAGTACGACTGGACGAGTAACAGAACTGACCAGAGCCAAAAGACTATCTCCTTGGCCTTTTGATTTTTCTGCAAGACATCACTCACCTTATAGCTGTTGGCATCCAGCCTATGAGCAATCGCTGCATCACTGAACTCTGTTTCAGTTCCACAATGGATGCTGTCCCTGCAACAATATTCAAGGCATGTCTGAATCTTATGTAGAGAAACCCAAGGGCAAGAATGATATGACCAGGCCGGGCGTGGTGGCGCACGCCTGTAGTCCCAGCACTTGGGAAGCAGAGGCAGGCGGATCTCTGTGAGTTCAAGGCCAGCCTGGTCTACACAGTGAGCTCCGGGACAGCTTGGGGCTATAGGGAGACCCTGCTTCAAAAAGAAAAAGAAAAAAAGATATAACCAAGAGTAAAGTCTTTGTAACAGGTGACAGGCTCCTACATTTCTGTACTCACAAGTTTTTAAAATGTACCCTTTCGCTGGGTGTGGTGGTGTACGCCTTTAACCCCAGCACTCAGGAGGCAGAATCAGGAGGATCTCTGTGAGTTCAAGGCCTGCCTGGTCTACACAGTGAGTTCCAGGACAGCTGGGGCTACAGGGAAACCCTGTTTCGAAAAGACAAAAAAAAAGAAAAATGTACCCTTTCTACATATATTACTCCTCTAATACTTTGAATTAGTACTGGGTCAATAAAAATAGCATTTTTATATTCCTAGAAGAAATGTCTTACCATGTATAGACAACAAACTATACTGCCACTCAAATCATTTCATTTTTTTTAAGATTGGGGGGGTGTTTTTATTTTTATCGTGCGTGTGTGCATGTGTGTATATAAAAACACCAAAATGTGTTTATTGGGATGGTTTCTCACTTATCAGGATACTTTTAGTGCTGCTTCCTCCTGAAGAACACTCTTTAAGTGTTGCTTTTCCGCCTTTAGGCTGACAGAGGACAGTGGAGCAGCTAACATATAAGACTGTGCATGGCTAAAGACTGATTTTATAGCATCCTAGGCATTTCACATCCATGAAGCAGGAATTGGGGCTCTGCACCAGGCACTTCGTCTTGTGTTTCCTCTTCTGGAGAGGAAGGAAGAGATTCTCTGCGAGAGGCATGAGAGGTATGACTCATAGGGAGGTCATCACCATCAGAAAGGCAATTTTTATCATTCTTTCTAAAACAATCACTGGGTACCTTTCATGTGGCAGGTAGCTCTGATATTGGAGAGTCATCAGTAAACAAACTACTGCCCTCATGGAACTTAACATTCTATTGGTGGGGGATGAGATTAAGCAGAGTTAAAGAGTGAAAAAGATAAGAACAGAACTTGAAAATTGAGTGCTGCTGCTGTGCATCGATGGAGGGACGCCTGAATTTTCAAAAGGAGGTCAAGGAAGGCCTCACATGAGAGACAAAGTTAAAGGCAGCAGTGGGGCACTTACTGTGAGCCAACTTAAGACTCTGGGTTTATTCAGAGTAAGATGAACAACTTCATGGGTAGCTTTGCGCACTACAACGACATGACCCAACTGATGTTTTTGGGGAAGGGGTATACTTTTTTTTTGAGACAGGGTCTCCCTCTAGCCTCAGCTGTTTAGGCACAATAGTACTGTCTGACTTATAATAGGTATTTTTTACCTTTCTGTTTTCCCATATCCCAGCATGTATTCTAGTTCCTTATCCACTGAGTTTTAAAAGCAAAGCATCAGGGACTAAGCAAGCAATAATGAACGCAGGAGCACACTGAAGCAATCCCCACACTGATGATAGGACAGAACATCTAGGATGCTTTAATGTCAACACTAGTGATTAAAGATGAATTCCTGCTCCATTCTCATTCTTACCAGGTATGTCATAAGGAGGTAGTTTAAGAACAAAGATGCCCCCAGCAGCAGATGGCAGAGCAAACAGAGCTTCCCCATCACTGCTCAGCCAAGCTGCAGAGGTGGTAGAATTCGGGGACAGTCCAGGTACTGCTGGAATTAACTGATAGTTGCTAGGATCTCTGAAATCAACTTTCCCAATGTCAGTGAATACTGACTGCATCTGACTTTCAGTTACCAGCTCCTGTACAGTAATGAAACAGAAAAATGTGTTACCAAAACAACCTAAATTTTGTTTAGTTTCAATTACTAAAAAAGCTTATAAAGTAACTGTTAAGCTTAATATGAAAGCTTCCTTTCCCCTGACCAGTCAGTGTCAATATGTAGTTGAAGCTGACCCTGAACTTGCGATGGCTGCTATGAAACTTGAAATCCTCCATGCCTCCATCTCTATGGTGCTAGGATTACAAAAGTGCAGTTGTGCCTAAAGAAAATTGTCCTTTTTAAAGAAAGAAAGCCATTCTATCAACTTAAAATGTCTGATCTTTTTGTTTTTTGAGACAGGGTCTATGTAGCCCTGGCTGCCCTGAACATGCTATGTAGACCAGGCTGACCTTGAATACAGATTCACCTGCCTCTCTGCCTCCAGAATGCTGGGATTAAAGGACTATGCCACCACACTTGGCTATGCCTAATCCTGTTGTTACTGTTTGAGACAGCCCAGGTTGTCCTCGACTTTCTGTATAGGCAAGGATGACCTAGAACTTCTGACCCTCCTGCCTTCACTTCCCAGGTGCTGGGATTATGGATATATGCCACCATGCCTGGTTTAAATGGTGCTGAGGATGAAAGCCAGGACTTTGTGCATGTTAGGCAAGCACTTGACCAAGCAAGTGAGCATCTCCAATAGTAACTATCAACATATGCTTGGTAAGGGCTAATAAAGAATCCAAATTTCCTTAAATTCCAAAGAATACCGTTCCAATCCCAAAAGTGTGATAGCTAGAGTAGTAATGGAAGCAGAAGATATGGCATGTAAACAACTTACACTCTTGTATATCCGGGAAGGGTGTGGTAAAATTAACCTGTGCACTGTTTGATTGGTTACTATCAAGATTATCACATGATTCTGAGTTTCAGAGACATGAACCCCTCCGGGTAAGATGCTGCAATTTTGGAATTTCAGGCGAACTGCATTATTCAACAGATTTATGTCCAGTGATTCCTCTACCAGTTCCAATATATCCCCAAAAGTTTTCCTGTTAAAAAAAAGAAGAGGTATCTGTTTTTAAAATTTTTTCTTTCTCAATGGCTGCTGCAATGAAATGAGAATAGTGTCTAGGTGAACGCTCCAATGTCAAGTTTGGATAACCAATTTGGTCCACTTCTACATTCTAGATCACATTATGTAGTCTTAGAAAAGATAGCATAATTCAGATCTCATTATGGTTCTGTTAAATGCCATTTCCAATTTTCATTTACTTAGGAAAAACTCTACTACATGAAAATTAACACCCACCCCATCATTTGTAGAATGAGGTATCCATGTACACTAAAGCATCAAACCAAACTGCCCCTAACAAACAAGGGCATTTCCCCTTTCTAGCACCTATAAAACAATTAAGTTTTATGATTTTTGCCCTGTGTGAAGGGTTGGTATTTACCAAAAAAAAAAAAAAAAATTTTTTTTTTTCTTTTTCAGACAAGGGTCTCACTATGCAGCCCTGACTAACCTGGAAATCGTTATGTAGATTACTCTGGTCTTGAACTCAGAGATCTGCCTGCCTCCACCTCCCTAGCTAAAGGAAGAATTAAAGATATGTGCCGCCAAACCTGGCCCTAAAATATTTTTAAAATATAAAATTAACTTCATGCTGATCAAGGTTAGTCTCTCTACTGTTAAGCTATCTTAACCTCCTATCACTTTTCAAAAGGAGCTTATGAATAAATGGCAGTAAGTTCTGTGAGTGTAGAGGCATCTGCTATGTACATCTGAGTAGCCCTAGACCTGGTAAAATGTCTGAATCAGAGCTAGCAACTTTGTCCTTAGAGACCTTAGCAGTACCAGATGATACTTAAGTGATTGTCAAAGAAAGTTTCTGCTTGACATCTTGCTGTGGTTATATCAACCTCACAACAATGAAATAGGCTCTTTTTTTCTACAAAAATCAAGGTTAAAATTTTAATTAAAAAATAATCAACTAGCTTATCTGAACTTTTAGCTCCTGGTTTATCTCCTCTTCTCCTGAAATGTACTCTTCTCTTTTATTAAAATTGCTCTGGCCACAAGGTCTTTCTGAGCTTCACCATCTCAAATTCACTTCATTTCCTTTGTCTAATGTAAGTGTCTTCTTTTCTTAAAATGGTTCTCTATAGTTTTATTCCTTCCTTGTTAATGACTGTTTTCTTTGAGGAACAGGAGAAAAGTTTCCCATCACGACTCCTTCTACTGAAAACTCAGCCCTTGCTTCTGGGACTGTCATCTTTGGTAAATTGCAGTGCTGCTTTTGATTCAGCTGACTGCTTCACTTTATCCACAGCAGAGAAAGAAAAGAAAAAGAACCACACAAAAACCATGTTATGAATGAATCCAGAGTAATTCCATTTTCCATTCACAGAGTAGAAGTTTTAAAATTTACTGTGCTGGCTAGGTTTCATCAACTTAAACTAGAGTTTAAGTTGAGGAATTTCCTCCACCAGATGGGCCTGTTCCTTATCTGTGAGGCATTTTCTTAATTGCTAATTGATGTAGGATAGGTGGTGTCATGCCTGGGCAGGTGGCCTGGGCTGTACAACAAAGTAGCTGAGTGACTCAGTAGGAGCAAACTGGATGGAAGCAGCTTGCTTTTATGGTCTGTTTGGGTTCAGGCCCTGATTTCACTCAACGAAAGGCTGCAATCTGGAAGCTGAACTAAACCCTTTCCTCCCCAAGTTTCTTTTGGTCAGTGTTTTATCACAGCAACAGAGAAGCAAACTAGAACATCTATTGATCCTTGTTGAGAGAGATAAAACCCAGTGGGAAATTTGCTATGTAGACCAGGCTAGCCTCTGCCTCCTGAGCACTGGGATTAAAGGCATGCATCACCAGTTCTCAACCTCACAGAGATCTGCCTGAAATTTTTTTCTCCTCTATTAATCACATGCATCTCAACTACATCTACTAGGTGGAATAATCCACCAATTGCTGATGACTATAATAGTTAAATTCACATATAGATTTACTATTGTAGACTTCACAGTCTTACAGCTACCAGGAGCCTGCTTTCCTTATAGCAATATTCCTTTAAAGAGCTGTTTTGTGCCCACTTCACTCACGCCTGCCCTTTATTAGAGTACTTTATTAATTAACAAAACTTTTTTATGATTTTTTTTTTTTAAGCCAGGTGTGGGGCATGCCTTTATTCCCAGAACTTGAGACAAGCAAATCTCTATGAGATTGAGGCCAGCCTGGTGGACATAGTGAGTTCTAGGCCAACTGGGGCTATAGGGAAACTCTGTCTCAAAATAAGATTATTTTTTTAAGTTATGTAGATATACGTGTCTGTGTATATGCACATGCGTGTGTTGCTGGTAGAGTCCAAAAGAAGATGTTTGATCCCCTAGAGTGCAGTTATAGGTGGTTGTGAGCTGCTAGACATGGGTGCCTGGGATTGGCCTCAGGCCCCCTGCAAGAGCAGCAGACACTTTTTTAACCACTGAGCCATCTCTCCAGCTCCTGAAGCAGTTCTTGACAAGGTCACTAGTAATCTGCACAATGCACAAGTCAATCTTCATTTCTCATCTTGTCTGACTTACATGCAACATCTTTTTCAGTCCCCTCCTTACAATTCTTCCCTTAGCTTCTGGGATAAGTCTTTTCATTTATCTTCACTTCAGCAGCTCCACCTTCATGACCTTCCTAACTGTGGGAGTGTTGCAGGGCTCAGTCTTCAGGCCTTTCCTCCACCTTTCTCATTGGTGTAGGAGAGTGGGCTGGGGGTGGGGTGTGCAGAGATGTGCTCCTGCCCTATCTAAGTACATTTAGCAGTACTTTGAGAAATTATTGGTTACAACTGGGGTGGTGGGATGGAAGTGGTTAGAGGTGCTATTGGTTTGTAATAGACAAAAGACGAGGGGATGCTGTTCAATACTCTATACTGTACAGGTCAAGTGCCACACAAAGTCTTATCTGGCCCAAAATGTCACTAGTATGAGGCTGCAAAACCCTAATTTACTCATTCTCTAGGTGAGCTTATTCACTGTTGTCTAATGCGACAATCACACATCTGTATCTTTAAATGAAAACCCTTCACAGAACTCCAGATCATTACCTCAACATTTTCCCTTAGGTATCTCCTGGTCATCTCAAATAAACCTGTCCTGGCAGAATTCCTAGACCCACCAAAGCAGGGATGGAGATCAAAACAGTATTTGCTTCATTGCACCTATACTTTTTCAAGTCAAAACTTCCAGGTGCTCTAACCAAAAATTGGGGGGTATATCCTCTATAATAGTGAATTCTAATAATTCACCTTGAGTACACATCCATAATTAGAACATTGCTCACTGCAATGTTGCACCACCACCACCAAATTAGTCTGAGTGACCATTACCTTTGTCTTTCTTGTGTCTTGTGTCTTTCCCTTTTCTTAAACTTTATTCTGAGCAAAGACACATCAATTCCTTAAAAACACAAATTATACCATGGTATTCCTCCACTCAGAACACTCCAGGGGCTTCCTTTCATCAGAACAAGTTTTAAATAACCAATGAAGCCTTAATCAGGCCCTTGGCTACCTTTCTTTTTATCCTTTGTTCACTCACCTACAGATTCTGGGTCTCTGATCATCCTCTGAACATATGAGCTTGTCTCAGGGGCCTTTGCACTTTTGTTCCTTTTCTTTGAAGGCCCTATCTGAATGTTCATTTGCTCCCAGCACAAATGCTATCTTCTAGCTGTCTCCTGTTTGACCATCAGATATGAAATACTAACACTTAAATGTGTTTCCTTCCTTCCTTCCTTCCTTCCTTCCTTCCTTCCTTCCTTCCTT